TGTAGCCAGTTACCGTAGAGTTACATTGATCCGTGACAGTGGCAACAGTACCGAACACACTCAGGTTCCACTTTACTGGCGACACTCCGTTACCGGTACCTTGCATTGGGATCCTTATGACGAATACATGCACAACCGAACATTGTCAATCCAGCCATCGTAGCCAGCTATCGTATAGCTAGTGGCAACAGTACTTGACTTGCGCATACAGGAAAATGGGTCCTGACACAGGAATCACCACCAAAACAGTAGGAAATAATAAGAAGGGATGAATCCGGTAGGAGGATCCACTCTCTTGTGTGTTGTTGCCTCTTCCGGTGGCTGTTGCCTTTCAATGACTCGACGATGATAGGCTCCTCTGTTCAGGCTGTTGGTAGGGCTGGAGTTAACAGAGCCTCCTCCTCCATAGCGGTAGCCTCTCATCTTAATGTTCTGGGCGAGCGCAGCTTGTCTGCGCTCGTCTTGTTATCCGGAGCGGTCGATCGAAAAGGACTCGACAATGGTAGTTCGCCGGCCGTTGGCAGTGCAGCAGAGAAAACAACAAATAGATATGAGTTTTGTTTTCTGTGCTCAACTGCAGACGACCGGAGACTTACTCTTGCTTTTCAAATTGCACCAACTTGGTCGTCATGGGCCGAGAACTGACTGCCATCCCATGGTCCATAGGATTCAATGAGGGATGGCTTTCGCTTCTGCACCGGAGACGACCGGCTTGAGTGAGGCTTGGATACAGAGGTGCGATCGATCGATCGATTCGAATAATTAAAACAACTCACCTGTTGACGGTCAAGCTTGGAATTCTCTCCTGAATACCATAGAAATCCAATGAGGGAGAGAAGTCAGCGCTGTACCTTCAATTAACACTCTTGATAATAGGCTTACCTCGAATCGATTCGATCGATCGGCCGATTGGATAAAGCACTGTTGTCGGCCAAGCTTGGATTTACCTCCTGTTTACCATAGGAATACAATGAGGGAGAGAAGTCAGTGCTGCACCTTCAATCCTTCAATAATGGACTTGCGACGAAGCAGTGAACAGCAGGATGCAGAGGTACTGTTTAACTTTAACCTTAGTAACTTCAAAGGTTGTTTTATCCACGAATCGATCTAAATCTTTCGAAAGAGAACCTTTTACTTAACGATACACATGACCGTTGATTCTGCAACTGAAGTGCGGCTACTCTATTTTACACAGTAAACGCCGGCAAATCGATTTTGGTGTGCAATGAGGGGGTAACCAAAGGAGCGTCGTCTCGAGGAGACCTAATTAATACAATTTTTCTTCGTTTTGTCTGACTCATTCCAATAATTTTGCCATTTTACGAAGGAGGGAAGCGAACAATGATGCCACCGCCCGAGCTGAATTCAATACTCAATACACCACATCCATAACCACTGTCGATGCAAAGTTACTTCAAACCTTTCGTGTTGCAATGACTGTCGCCCTTGGAGGAGGCTGCCCACGATCTGTGGCGCTGTATTTGCTGCTACACTTTGTACTCGTCTGTTCCGAAGCTGGCTTTGTATTTCCGAGAGCGGCAAGAGAAAAAGCGTGGACAACAGGAACCGGCGTACAACAGATCCCACGGTTCTTCCCTGTCGCTTCAAGTTTGGCTACAGATTCTAGAACCACCCGAGATAAAAGGGATTATGCTGTCATAACACAGCCAGTTACAGTGTTCCATCTGCCTTGCCTCGACGAAGAGAATGGCTGGAATCAATTAGTTCCACCACCTCAGTTGAGACCGTGGGAAGAAAGCGCTGGACGAGGCAGAGATGTTACAATAGAATGGAACAAGGAGGATGACTTGACTGTTATCGCTGAGTCCATGCTTCAACAACTTGAAATTGAGCCATGTCATGCTCAAACTTTTCTGGAAGCACAATTGACTAGTTGCATGAAGGAGTTTCAATCTATTTGTGTGGAGCACCTACGAGTTGATGATTCGGGACGTGATCGACCAGACTTCATCCAGGGATTTAAAGCAAGGATTGTGGCTTCAAGGGGTTCTTTGGGCACCAAATGCCCTCGTTGGCATGTGGACCACGTTCCTGTTCGTTGGATTCAGAGTCTTGTGGGTCCAGGCTGTGTTTACATCGCTAGTAGAGGCGACGACGAAATAGGGAGGAATGGACTTGAGCTCAGCACAAAGGATTTCGAGAATTTGAGTGATGGAGCCCGGAAAGTCTTGAAAGAACAAATGCCCCAGGACAAGGATGGCGGAAAAGACGAAAGATTCTCATCTATTCTCGCTGGTCAATGGAGGGTTTTCGAAGCTCGAGAGCAGGAAGTGGCAATACTGGCTGGCAATCGATGGAATGAATTTGCCCTAAAACCGCTTCCTCTTCTCCCTCCAGTCGTTCACAAATCCCCTAAGCTGTCATTTTGGCAGGGACGAGTGCTGCTCACAATGGATGTCCTGGTCTCACACCATCATAGTGATTAGATCCGAAGAATTATACTGTATACTGTCAATACGGTACATGTAGTTCATCATGATGAATGATGAATCCTGGGTGGGAGGGGCTCCTCTAAAGATGGGTTCCTCACACCCAAGGGCTGCCTGAGTTCAAGAGACCGCAGTGCCGGTAGCTTTGGGGTACCGGTACCGGTACCAGGTACGGTAAGTTGTGGCATGCCCGCTGGGGGTCCAGCGTGGTTATCTTATTACCAAGGCAATTATATAGGCAGAAATGGATTTATGGTACATCGTCACTTGTAGATTTAACTCACAATGGACTACGCCCACCCTGGGCTCCTCCAGCATCAACATCACAAGTTGCTTGCTCTTGACTTCTTCCACTCTTGTGTACTAGTATCGTATAGTATAGTATCATGGGTAAACCAAAGGGATCAACAAAGCCCCGCCCTGTTAAAGGGCAAAGCGATCTGTTATCCTGTTTTCGCCGCCAGGCCCTTCGTCAAAAGGAAGAGACAGAGGCAAGGTTCTCATCGGAAGAAAAGCGTCAATCAAAACCAATGACGAGTACTAGTACCAGTGCTTCTATCAGTGCCGGTGCTACTAGTATTAAAGGCCAGCCTGTGAAATCCAAACGCAAAGGACAAAATGGTGACAAGGAAAGAGTGGCTCTCGGAAAAGAAAAGTCAATGCCCAAGAAAAATGAAGAAACCGAGGACGATGTGCCCTTGGCGTCATTGTTGTTGAAACGCCCCAAAACCCATCATGCCAAGACTTCATCAACCTCTAGTAGTAGAGTTACAAGTGCACCCACTGTGAAACCTCAGAGGTCCAAGAAAATTGGCAGCACAGTCGCCTCTAACAAGCCAAGCAAGACACGCCCTGCTACAAAAACCTCCAGTATGGACACTGCTTTGCAGTTTCTAGACCGAAATACCAAGAAGCGCAGTCAAACTGACCTCACTTTAAAAGATGTAAAAAAGCACACATCCAAATCGCGCAAGATGGAGGCTGCTAAAAAGGAGAACAATACTGTCTGCGAGGAAACTAAAAGTGCTGAAGTGGTCAGTACTAGTACTTTGGACAATGCCAGTGTGAAAGAAATCAAACAAGAGGCTCTTCTAACAGAAGAAACAAAGGAGACAGGTAGCAATCCACCAGACCAAGACTTTCAGCCCACACTCCGAAGGAGCCATAATTTGGTGCACCAGTTGGTCGATCGTTCCGTACTGGGAAGCCGTGGAAGAACTATTCATGATGGGCACCGTTTGTCCCAGTCATTGCAAGTGGATAGGCAAAAGCCAGCCCTAACGGCAAAGCATGTCTCTTGGATTGGGTTAGGTAACGATGTCGACAGCACCCAAACCAAGAACATTGAATGTATGGCTTGGGATTCCATGGGGGTCTTGTTAGCAGTCGCCCAGACTTGCAATATCACCAAACAAGGATGGATCGAAATTTTTGATTGGGACTCGGTGGTGGCCGCCGACCTGCGAGCCCGAAACGCCCGTGCGAGAGCTCTTGCCAACAACGACAAAGCCAAGTTTCGTCTAGATGTTCCACCCCTCTTGCAGTTTCGGATTCCCGCGGTTGGTGATTCGACAACTGCTGCCTCCTCCAAGAAGATTCCATGGATCAAATGGAATCCTCACAATCCCGATCAACTGGCTGTTCCCAGCCGTTGTGGCTCGGTTGTGTTCTGCTTCAATGTCTCCCACATCGAAGCCGCATTGGCCAGTGCTCCAACCAATCGGATTCACAGTCCACCCCGGCATTCGTATTGGGAATTCAAACCCATACAAACCCAACATGCAACAGCATCCGCTAGTCTCTTTGTGGAAACTGATGTGATCCTTCTAGCATTCGGGGCAACCCTGGATTGTTGGCGCTATTACCCCAAACGGGATCCAACAAGCGTCGCACCAAAACTCAAATGGCAATATGCATTCCCATTCAAAAAGCCTTCGCTGCTCAATCGAGCTTCCGTCGTCACCATGGAAGCCATTGGTAAGGAGCACATAATTGCCGGATCTTCTCATGGTCACTTCGCGTTGATCCAGTGGAAACGAGTGGTACAAGCTGGTGCTAGCAGTGCCTTCTCGTTGACGACCGCTACAAAGCGCTCCACACCTACGGTTGTGGCATTCTGGCTGTCGCACTCCTCGCTCAGTAGCAGTGCTGGTCAGCAATTGATTCCACCTGAGCACACTCAAGACCCTTCCATTATGGGAATCCATAGCATTCGGGTGGAACCACTCTCACATCACCTACAATTTGTGGATGAAAGTGGCAATGAAGCAAATCGAAACGACACAAAGAGCAAACGACAATCCTCCAATTCGTACGAACAGCTCTGTGGCAGGTTCCGCATTCAATGGATCACTCGATGCGGTTGGTGCTTGTCTGTGACGTTAGTAGCTTCACCCTCAGGTCAGTGGCAGCAGTACAAGGTTCGACGGCAAGCTCCTCGAATTTTGCATCAAACGGCTCCTGTTCACACCAAGCTTGCGTCTGGTGGCATTGTTACGACGGCCAAGAAGGAATGGTCTTTACCAACAGAACCAGTGGCGGCTGATGCAGGAGCATCGTTTCTTTGTTGGCAAAATGTGGCACCTGTCACGCGCATTCTTCCGCATCACGATAAACGAGTTCTCGATGAACAGCCGAGTCTTTCACGGGATGTCAACAATTCCAACCAGTTGCTTTTGATGCTGCCTAAGATACCTGGGAACGGACAGATGCCAATAGTACATCAGCCGAACAATACTAGAACGGCTGATACTACCACCCTTCTGCCTCTCCCCAAAAGAAGGGGTTTAGCAAAGTTAGTGGCATTGGACCCAACTCAAGAGTGGGTGGTCATTGCAACCAACAGGGAGAGTCTCTACATTGTCAATCTACGGCCAAAGCTCCTACTGCAGATTACTGAGTAGTGCCTAAGAGCTTCGAAGTCGAAGATGGCCTATCATCTCGATTACTGTTGATGGATTGTAGGATTGTAAGCTCTAGACTACCGGTAGTTGCCTGTTTCCGTCTCCAGGGTTCGGCATCCTTGTGATTAGTGATTCAGCCCGCCTCGTGTTCGGTTCTCCCTTTCTTCTTTCCCTTAAATCATAATGTGTACTGGCTGGACATCAACTACAGTCGCGGGTCATACGAACGCTGTGTTGTATGTGCTTGAACGGTCGTGGGGAACAGAGTTGCCATGGAGGAGGGCTTCAAAGTTGCCAGCTATCAGCGTGCAATCGAGGCTTACAATAACCATGCAAGCTAGCTATAATAATCATGACAATGGCCAACATGCACACTGATCCATCATTTCATCGATCCTTGGTAGGTGTCCCCCATCGAGCTCTTTTATCATGATGTTGCCATTTTGTCGCCATTTCGCTCACTGTCGTCTTTTCCCACCATTAGTTTCTCGAGCAGACCTTCATCGACAGTCCCAGATTCGGACACTCCAACAAGTTTTCGCACCTCTTCAATGATGCTAGGAGAGACGATTATTTGATCGGGATCAGCACTGTCGCTCTGATCTTGGCGTGCATCTTTCTCTGCTGGTTGCTATTCCTCTTGATGCTGAAATGCTGTGGCGGAAAGAGTCGAGTTGGTATGTTGAACGATTGAAAAATTATGGTCAATGTCTCTAGCTAGAGCCGCTCGCTGACTCATTCAACATCTTTGTGTTTGTACTACAGGATTCCTCTCTGGCGCACAGTATGATGCAACCACTCCCACAGGAGACGTGAATAGACGACCCACACGAGGAAGAGTAGTGTTTGGGCTTAGTGCCATTGGAATGATTACATTCACAATGCTCATGGTCTTCCTTGGTCTTCCAGGGTTGGAAAATATGTCTAGTGACCTGTCTGATGGGGCTGATGTACGTTTTGTACAGACGTATATACCGTTCCCTGTTATTTGGTACTGGGATCACTCACGTGTTTCTTCTTGTGTCAGCTTGGAGCAGATATTCTAAGGGATGGAGAGACCGCGACAGGCGCCTTCGTCGCAGGCAGTAGGCGAATTTTGGCAACCCGAGATGTGGCGGTCGAAAGCTTAAAACTTGCTTTCAGGACGGGGAAAACAATTGCTCCGGCGGCTGAAATTGTGGACCCCCTTTTATTAAACTCGACTGCAACGACCAATGCCACAAATGCCACCGAATCATCCCCAAATCATCTCAATTTCGCTGTTCAAAACAAAGTGCGAAGAGTTCTGGACAGTCTGGAAGCGATCAACGAAACAGCACAAAAGGAGGGAAGCGATTTGATCGACACTCTCGAAGCTGGTGAAGAGAGATTTCGTACGCTTTCTGATTCGCTGGACGACGTTGACTTGATGACTCTCCAAATCTCCATGGGGGTTGGTTTGATTCTGCTACCCTTTGTCCTCCTTCTCATTATGATTGCAGTTGCGTCGGGAGTCAAAAACAGCTGCTTGCAGTGCTTTACGTTTTTCTTGATACCCCTATTTGTTGCATTGATCCTGTTCTTACTCATAATGACAGCACTGGCTGCTATCAGTGGAATCCTTAATGCAGATTTCTGTCATTCCGGATTTGACAACACACATGACTCGACACTATTGGAGATCCTGACTCAATCTGGTTCTGATAGAGATTCCTTTGCATTCAGATCAACTACATATGTTTTACGGGTAAGGAGAGTGAGGAAAGGTTGCTTGCTTGGAATGGAAATGACCGTTCACACTTGACACACTCTGACAACAACCGGTTATTCCTGTTTGCCTCTGTAGAATTGTGTACCTCCTACCGAACCCATTGCCTATCCGCTCGATTTCATGGAAGCATTTGAGACGAAAATACGCGTAGCGGTGGAGAACGTCGCAACACTGTCAGAGGAGATTGAAACTCTTGGGGTGGAGAAACTTTCTCAAGATTTGAAGTTCGACGTGGCATCGATGCAAGAGGAGCTGGCAACGTTTGAAGAGAGAGTGGCTGAGAGCATTGAGACAGTGGGATATGCTTTGGCAGACCTTGGATGTGAACGGCTGAGGGAAATCTACGACATAGCAATTGGAGAGGCCATTTGCGACTATACAGGAGTTCTGTGGACATTTTTTTCGTTCCTTGCAATGACGTTTTTTGCCTGTCTCATGCTGACCTTCCGAGCCGTCCTATTCCCGGTTTCGTCGCATCTTCCTGTCGTTGGTAGTGATGAGCTTGAAAACTCAGCAAAGGATAAGGGCGAAGAAGACGACAGTAAGGATTCTGAGGGCACCGGAACGGGGGCTGAACCAAGCGCGGATGAATTCATGGATGAACCAGAGGGAGACGAACCAGAGGGGTCAACTAATGAGGACCAGGGAGAGACAGAACGAGGGGAAGATGGTGATCCAGAACCATCGCCCGAATATGCAGTTCCAGTGATTGTAAAGGGTGTGGGCTTTGATGAAGATCCAGACCCATCTGGGACAGGGATAGTGGTGATACCTCAGCCGCCTGGAGCAGAATTTGATTGCATCATTTGGGTTTAGGAGTTGGGCCCATTCTCTGGGATTGCTAGCTATTGTACTTTCGTCCGCACAGGCAAGATAATATAAAGATAGAAATAGAAAGAAGGCTAAAAAGTTGAAAGCAGTTTCCTCCTCTCCTCCAGTGCTGTTACACAACGACTGCATGGTATCGTGCCAGCAGTTAATGGACGTTCAATGTCTCCAGCTGCGCAACCATCAATTCAATGTGCTACCAGCTCTGGTGCAGCGTGCACATCAGCCATTACTAGTAGCCCAAGGCAGGAACCAAGTGTTGAAGGACGTCAAGTGCACACAGCGAAATGTGGCCTCAGCTTCGAGCCAAAAAAGTTGCTCCTTCCCACGTTTGGCTTGCTTGTATGATCATTCATACACGTTTGGCTTGCTTGCTCCCGCCATTTTCCTGGCCGAAACCGGCAATGGACACGACACTGGTGGTCAATGGGAAGTGAGAAGCAAGCAACAGGATACCGGTAATACGGCACTGTCACACTCTCTGCGTCCACAAGTCAAAAGCCTGAAGAGCTTTCGCAACGATGTACGAAATATTATCATCTTATGGTGACCAGGCGCACCGATCCCTTGTAAGTATTGTGTTTGCTGCATGATGTCGCTAAAACAATCAATCAATCAATCGAACGCGTTGCCAAGAGCTGTTAATCTTCTCAGGGATTCGATTTGATTTGAAAGGATTCTCACCGGCTGGAGTTCGTTGCTTGCCCCTTGCACTTTGTCTAGGCTCTCGATGCATTCCGAAATGCGCCAAGGTGAGCTCTGCCATCAGGTCACGAGGTTCAACTCGACCAATCCTGTATGTAGTCGTGCAACGGATCGACTGACAGCAAAGCTTCATTTATTTTGTCTCGCCTCAAACTCCTATAGACTGGGCCGAACCAACAACTTTGCTGACCTCTTCAATGACGATAAGCGTGCAGACTACATCAATGGTGTCCTGGTCGTTGCTCTGATTCTGGAGTGCATCTTCCTGACCTGGGCTATCGGTCTCTGTTTCCTGATGTGCATGGGCAAGCAAAGAGTTGGATTTTTGAGTGGTACGAAAAATTACACAGTGTTCTGGTTCTTCCCTTTATTGTTGAAGTGTATCCTGATCTGGGCTATTTGTATTTTGTATTGGTATTTTTCTTTTCTTGGAAAAAGGCGCACCTTACGATGCCAGCCTCGACGGAAATGTGCGGGTTGAAAACCCCAGAGTCATGCGGGGCAGGGCCACCTTCGGTGTCTCTGGAATGATCCTTATCACTTTTACTTTCCTATTGATCTTTTTGGGTATTGGAAATCTGGACGAGACAACCACTGAACTATCCTCAGGTGCTGGAGTACGTCAAAACTCGTTCTAATAAGCTTTTTTGCATATCCTGCTTTGGCACTCTCATTCACAAACTAATTTTCTCTTTTGCTTCTTCCCCAAGCTTGGACGCGATCTCTTTGTGGATTCTGGCGACCTGCTCAATCAGTTCCTCGACACTGCCAAAGCCGCCGTAGAAGCGCGAGATGCTGCCGTGAATGCTCTGCAGAATGCGTTTGATACTGGAGATCTATCCGACAACTTGTCAACCGTTGCTAATACGTCTTTGTCCACGGCTCAAAAGGTCTCCACGAAGTACGTTATCAACAACATCAATTTTCAGGAACGTGCAGTGGAAGTAGTGGATCAGCTCTATGCCTTGGAAGATATGATTCAAAGCCAGTCCACAGAGCTTAGCGGTGTCATAGGAGAGGGCGAAAAAACATGCAGCAATTTGAGCGATGGGTTGGATGAAGTAGAGCTCAGGGCTCTGCAGTTGGGCTATGGAATCCCCTATACTGTCGTTCCCGCCTTCATGATGGTGCTCATGGTCCTGACTGCATTGGGTGTCAACAATAGCGGCAAGAACTGGTGCACAGCGTTTTGTTTTGTTCCTTTCTACATCATTTTGATCATTCTACTGATAGTCTTCACCGGAGCCTTTGCCGTCGGAGGTATGTGTGGAAAGGTCTGCGTTTGGCTCCTGACTTCATCGTGTTGACAATTCTACTTGGTCTTTCACTCATCGTAGGGATTATGAATGGGGATTTTTGCGCCGGAGGTCAGGATCAAAGCGCTGCAGGAACACTTCTTCAAATCATGGACAACAAAGGAATATCCGCCGATAGCCTACAATACGAAACAGTTGAGTATGTCATCAATGTGAGTACATGAACTGAACTTTTACTTTACCTTCCGTTGCCCATACAAGACACCTGACAAGCATGGTCAAAACTCTCAGGGATGTCGGTTCGATACCCCCGGAGAACAGTTTCCCTTACTGTTTCTTGAGGAATTTGATGCCAAGCTCGGGATTGTTGAACAGCGCTTGGACGAGTTTACCGCCGAGGTCGATGCTGTCGGAGTGGACGCATTAGTAGGAGTAGTGGGAAGCGCCAATTTGACGCGGGTCCGAGAAGGAGTTCGCGTCATGAAGGAAGAGGCGGTTAGTATGGTTACCGTGATAAAGGCTGCCGTCGCAGTGCTTGCTTGTGAACGATTCTATGAGATCTACGTGAAAGTTGCCGGTAAGTGAAAGGATCTGCGTTGTGTCGAGAGAACATGCCGCAATCCTCACGCCTCTTTCGTGCAATCCCAGATGACGCCACTTGCGACAAGACGTACAAAGGGCTGGTGTGGTCATTCTCTTCATTCCTTGTCATGTCCTTGTGTGGGATGCTGATGATTACGTTCCGAGCGGTCCTGTACCCTCTTGCAGGTGATCAGGCGGACGATTATAGTTGGAATGAGGTGAAAGAACAGGAGGGGATCAATGCGGCTAGCAACGATGGCATTCCGGATGAAGTCGTAGGAACTAATCCTTACGAACAGGACGAAGGGGTCAAGGGCTCTACGACGCAAGAAACCGAGGCAGTTCGGACAGAAGCTCCAATGGGCGGCCAAGCACAACAGGCGTACGAGGCTGTTGGTGACGACAATCCATTTGCAGACGATGGTGGCAACGATCAGCCGAAGAAGAGTTCATGGGAGTGAATTGAGAAGAAATGGACTGCGAAAGACTAACTGGTGTAGACTATCATGAAAACGTAGCCTGTTCTAAAGCTTGTGTAGCTATCGCAAGGGTCAAGCATGGTCAGCTCCCCTCGAGAAGTCTCCCTTTGCCACACGTCTACAATATTGTGTGCGGCCTTTGGAAATGGCTACAGTGGACGTTTGCAATCGCAAGCACTAATAACAATAGCAAAGGTGAGAATCTAGAATTTCGATGCATTTCATCTCGAGCGGTGCACCATCATCTGATGCGGGTGCTCCTCCAGCTAGACGGGTCCCGGTGTGTCTTGATTGATACAAATGCCTGTAGTGCCCGTTGCTAAGCTATATTAAAAAAAGAATTGCATCTCTTTCATCGTTAATGTAAAATTAGAAGCTACCAGACGTATTTCTTCTTCAGTGTACAACAACACCGCTGTAGGTGCGCAAGTGGTGCGCACCTCTCGGTATTATCCTCCTGTCCTGTTTTATGAATCTTAATGTGTCGAACACCCGTATCCTGGGATATGCCCAAGCAATGTACTTACGATGACGCCGTGGACACTGTTGGAGAGCTACGATTGAACCCAAGCAACAAGTCTGCATCACCTCTAAGATCAGAAGCGCTCCTCGTGATGCCAGAGAGAGATGACGAGCTGCACTTCTTGCTTGCATTCGTTGGGAGCACGCGAAGCTTCTTCGTTTTGGATGAACCAGCCAAGCCACTGAGAGCCTCGGCTGCAACCTGGTCTTCTTCTCTGCTTCGCTTTTCCCCTGTATATTTTGTCGCTGCATCCTTTTCCTTCGTTGCTTTTACATGGTTGTCCGCTTGTGCTGTGACTGATCCTGACGAAGCCGAGTCCGATCTTCGTTTTCGAGTCTCTTGGGGGCCTCTGGAGAGGATCCTCTTGAGTGTCGAGTTCCAACGGTTCTTGATCGCATTGTCAGTGCGACCGGGAAGACGTTTGGCAATTTCTGCCCATCGGTTGCCAAGCTCTTCGTGTGCCTCCAAGAGGATACGATCTTCGTCATCAGTCCACTCCCCCTTGTTGATGTCAGGATTGAGGTGATTGTACCATCGTTCTCGGCACTGTTTGCCAAGCCTTCCATTCAACTGCCGAGCGATGAAGCTCCACTTCTTTGTGCCATGGATCTGTACCAAACGAATGACAGTAGCGTCTTCATCTGGAGTCCAAGGGCCCTTGATCAGGCCTGGCTTTAAGACCTTCTGCCAACGATGCAGGCATTGCACATCAGTGCGGCCGCATAGGCGCGAGGCTATCTTCTTCCAACTCCTACCGGAGAATCTTTTAGAGAAGAGAGGGAACGAAAGAAAAGGATGAGGTTGTGCCGAAAGACAACATTACTAAGCGCGAAATATACGCAGGACTTACTCTGCTACAGCCTGGCGAAGCAAGGAATCTTCTTCCTCTGTCCACTTGCCCATCGAAGCTCGTCGCTTACCCGATGCTGTGAGGTTGGACGGCGTAGCAATCTTGTTGTGAGCCAATGTCGGCTGTCCAGTTGCATGGGGGTGCAACAAACCGGCTCCCGACAGCACCTGAAGTTTTCGAGCCGCCGCCGCTGCTGCAGAAGCCGAACGAGGGGGGCTGGAGGCGCTGCTTTCTCCTATCATCCTGGTTATGCCTTGAGATGCGTGATGATCCCCATAAATGTCGTCTTCCCCGTGGTCTGACAAGGGCGATGGCGGCTTCACGGCACTGGTCGTCAAAAGCCTAGGCGTGGAGTCGTTTGACCTAGTTGTGCTTGCGGGACTCGTTGTAGCCCCAGGTCTGGAAGGATGCGGCGGCGTCCCAACGACATGAGGGGGGCGATGAGCCCAAGATCCCGAAGGTGAAGTCGGGTGAGCACCAGCTGCGTCCGAGCCGGGTGCTCCTCGTTGAGGTGTCGGAGGATACGCGGTCGGTGGCGCGCCCTTGTAATAGGGAGGGGGTGGGTAGTGCATCCTACCTACCGGCGGCGTGGAAGCAGTGGGCTGTCCCGGATACTGAGAAAGGTGAGAGGCTTGGTAAGGAGAACGGCCTGCCATCGGTGGTGGCGGTGGAGGTGCATGGGGTGGATGGTGTCGACTCCAATACTCTCTGCCGTGGGCTGGTGGTGGAGGGGGAGGCGGCGGGCCATGCGACGGCGCTGAATGCTGCAAGTGAGCACCATGCCAACCGTATGGGGGCGGGTATTCAGGTCGATAAGGAGGAATTGCTGCTGAGTAATACTCACCATGAGGCGGAGGAGGTGGGTAAGCTTCCGTCCTTGGTGGGTACCCGTGTTCGGGATGCGGATACCCCTCGCTACGATGGTACAAATGCTCATCACCTCGAGGAGGATATCTTGCCGGATACGGGTATGCACCTCTCGGAACGAGTGGAGGCTCACGACGAAAAGAGATAGTCGCCACTGGATGGGCATTCTCTTTCTTTTCTTCTAAAAACTGCTTGTCTGCCTTTGGAGAACTATACGTTGTTGTCGATGCCTTTTTGGCTTCGTTTGCAGAAGCATCCGCTAAAGCCGCACTTGCGAGAGCGCCAAGGGGATCAGCCTGCACCGATTCATTGGTGGCTAGCTTTGGATCTGCCGCCATGGTAGCTTCTGTTGCGACGGTGCTGACAGCTTTGGGAGAAGTCTCTGACGGGATTCTTGAAACCGTATTGGTTTTTGTTGTGAGCTGTTGCTCGTGATCTGCTAGTACTTTGTGTTGCTGCTCTTCTTCCTCTTCGCTATCGAATGTTTGTTCCTTTGCTTCCTCCTCGTCAACCAACGATGGCATTGCGGTAACTGAACTAGCCGGTGTGGATAGCGGAGTGTTGCCCGTTATCGTTGCTGCAACCATCCTTTACGAAAAAGTGAGACTCAGTAACAGCAAGGAATCCCAGCTACCCCCGCTCCGAAGACAAAAGTGAGACTAAGGTAAGTAAATTAATTCCCTGCCATGATTAGCTAGCCAAATAGAGGAAACGACTCTAAGTCGGGTTAGTTCTTGTGTGTGGTACGTCTAAGTGCCACCATCACGAATTTTTGCAGTCGTTCTAATTCGAGCCATCCAGCCCAAATGAGGCAACGGCAACTTCAGCTGTGATGAGGGCCGTACTGTGAACGGATATCCAAGCAAGCCCAAATCTTTGCGTGAATTCTTCCACCACAAACTTGTTGACCGTGTCGACCAACGGCCAAAACCTCGCAGCTGACTCCCGCGACGGCACATTTGTCACACCTGGAAAGGCTGGCTCCCAGTCCCAGTTGGGACTACTAGAACGTGACTCAAACTATCTCATTGGATTGAATTCGATCCTTTTGAAAGATTTGATTCAATCGTTCGATTGAATTCGATGAATAATTCGATCCTTCCACTGCCCAGCCGGCTCGCGGTTCCAGTCCACTACTAATACCCAGTAGGTACATAGCATACCGGGTACCGGTGCTAGTAGTCTTGTGCCTGCAAGGAGATTTTGGGCGTGCAGAACATGACATTGTCTCTTGACCAGCCAAGAACCTCTCTGCATACAACTACCTTGACTATGGGGATGAACCCCTTGGAGTTTGCAAGAATGACTGAAGGATCAAGACCAAGCTAGACATTGTTTAGAGTGACTGGATTTCTTTGTCCAAAACCCCCCTGGCAGATCCCTCTTCTATCCTCGATCAGTCCATCTAGGTACCAGGAACAGTCGTGCCCTGGCCTGCTGCGGCTGCATGGCTGACATCGCTATACGTCCCTACCATACATATGCACTGACACAAATCTCAATATTTGCTGCTGGAAAGGCCACTAAGATGGATTAATTTTTTGACCATTGTTTCATCTGCTTCAGAAACTCTTTAGATCCTCCTTCATAGTCCAACGAGTCATCGGAATCCGACAAGTCTTCTTCATCCAGCATTTTCCTGCCCAACAACGAATCATCAAAGCTTGCGCTGTTGTTCATCATTGGTGGCCAGTGTTTCATCTGCGAAAATATCACCTTGTCACCAATGTCGATGCCTTCGAGAATCTTTTCAGCATCTTTGGTAAGATCGTAAAAGGCATGCGGACGACGTGGGTCTCTCCAGTCAATCACTTCCTCGCCAATGTCATCCATGTTGCAAACAAACAGCGGATACGAAAAGACATCGCTAGGCACTTGAGGAATATAAGCCGATATGTTTGTCACGTCGCTGAAATTGATTCTCTGATCTTCCATCAAGTTCTGTGCAGAAAGCAGGGGTCATGTAGCAGCACCGGTAAGCAAGGGTCTGCTTCCGCAAATTAAATGCCACAAGTTGCACATCGTACCTTTGTCTCCCCCCAAACAAACTTCTGCAGCTGCTCTACCCATCCTTGAACGAACACGGCAAGTGTAAAAAAAATGGCTCCAACTGCAGCCCACCCATACACAGCAGTGACAGTTTCTTGCTCTTCTGTCATCCACTCATCCCCAGGTGGCTGTTGAGAAGGAAGAAATGGGAAGCTTCGTCCGCCACTTCTTAGCATATCCTGGTTGCAGTATCTATATGAGATGGTTTCATCTGTGACATTCACAGGGATTTCTTCGTGGGGTGCGCTGAACCTTGTTATGTTAAAGCTGCCCCAGAAAACAGGTGGTGATGGTTTGTCATTGGGGCAGAGATTGTCGTAGGGGTAGGAAGCCCAGAAATAAGAGGACATCAATGCCATAGCAAGAAAGGACATGGTAACGAAATATCTGCGACTGAATTCAGAGATCCCAGGACCCAGCGGTGGGGCTCTCTTCCAAGTTCTCATGAGGCTGTGTCGATCTGTGAAATAGTTGATGAACAAGGCGAAGGAAGCCATGAAGAAACCAAAAGGGTAAACAGAGCTGTACCATAACGCCAGGAAGAAGATCTTCGTCATGTTGGTGTATCGCTCAGCCAGTTCGACCTCAAGGCCTTTCATTTGCAAGTTCATTTCATCTTGAGTTTTTGCCCTTGGAGCAAATTGAAACAAAAAAGGGATTATTAGGGGTGTGCACATCCACAAAGCAATCAACCGGCAGAACAATAGCACAGCAATACCTCGGAGCAAAGAAGTGGCGCATAAGGTGCCCATAAGGATCAGATAGTTGGATCACATTCATGGTGAAGATTTCAGTGAAGAAGAGTGCATAGATCTGGGTAATAAGTCCTCCTGCTTCCGGAAATAGCGTGTTTGTAAAGGGGGTAATCATTGTCTTTTCAAATAATCATCAATAACGTTGGAAACATCTATTTCAATGGACATTCATTCGACATCGCAACAATGACATCTATCTTTACTTACGATCACCACAGCAGTGTTTACCCAACGAAACAGACAGATCTTAATGTACATTGAAGTTTGCACAGCTGCTTCGGTGCTGTGCCCTGTTGTTGAATTTATTGACATATGATTGTTAGCAAGCAAGTGACAAAAACGCAATCGACCATGCCAACCACAGTTCTGTACAAACCTTCAAACTTCACTAGAATCTTTGCGAACTCTGGGAAGGCACCATTGAACAAAGAAATCGCCAATGCGGACCACAGACTGCTCCAGTCATGCACAATTCGAACAATGAAGGCAACCAGCATGATAGAAGCCATTGTAGCGATTGTTGTCAATATTTGCTGCCACAACCGATCTACCATTCGTTCATTCATGCTGATCCATCTTTGCCATCAAATGAAGCCATCATCAGTGCCCAGAATGCAAACAATCATTCACACCAGCTGTATGTCCAGACCACGGAGATCTCACCTGTAGGAATTCGGCTCCTCAAGCGGTTCGTGCACGTACAACATGTGTTCACCGCGAAATAAATACTTGGGATCCTTCACGACGGTCTTGTCGTCGCTTTGAACATAGAACTTCCCAACGGCCATTTCTTCCACAACGCGGCGTTGATCGGCCTCGGTCTCAAAAGTAACAAACACTTTGGTAGCCGGGTAGTCATGCTGCGCTAACCCACGAATGTCAATTGTCAAGATCACGATCCGCCGAAACAGCTCTGGGATCCCCGGAAGGAACAGCGACACGAAGCTATCCATTGCGCCCCGCGTTCTGTCGACTTTTGCGGCAATTCCGGCCAACACATTCATTTCCAAAACGGTTCCCGGATCCAACAACAGCTCCATCATTTTCATGTTTTCCCTTCTTTCCACAATCTTTTTCACCAAATCATCGTTATCTACAGACACGGTGACAGCAACGACGTGTGCCACCCCAAGGTTTTTCAAGAAGAAGTTTCGCCATTCGTCTGTATCAGTAGCATCATCTGGTGGGTTTTTAATCACGACGGTGTAATGCTGTGCGGATTGTTCATCTCCATCGTAAATGGCCTCCATCATCATAAGGTAGCGGTTTAACATGAAAAGTCCAAGCAAGACAACGCACAAAATGCCGAAATGAAGCATTCCAGCCTGCAGCGTGGTTCCGTAACAATTGTTCTTCATCGCAAAAGTCAGATTGCGACCCAGAGGAATGCTCTCTACAAAGGCCAGTCGCTCCAAGGGCACCTGTCTGCGCGATAACCCTGCGCATCTGGGACACGGCACCCAATCTGGAGATGAGACGTTCGCGGTTAGGCCGGCACTTCAACACAACACACAATCATCAGTGAAAACACAACGGGGTGTACATGAAGTACCTACCAGTATCGGTGCAAATTGCACTTGCCGCGAGCAAGGGTGGGGCATCTTCCTGGCCACCAGAATATGCCTCACTCGAAAAGAAGATCATGTTTGGAATGCTACAGAAACCAGCAACCAAACAAAGTACCATAACACCACGAACGGATGCAAAATAGAGCCCCCATCCGATTCCCCAATCCCCCTGAGAGATGCAGAAGCCAATTGTAAACATGCTGATTGGAGTTGGTCGATTTCTTCAACGGGTACGACAATGAGCGCACTTACGAGTTGATTGTGTGGTGTCCAACTAGACGGATCGAGAAAGCAGAGACAAGCATTTACAATGCAGTAAGCAACGCTGTGTATCGGAGAGACAACGAAAGGAGCCGTCATGGATATCTTACATGGGATCATATAGTTTCGTGGGCAAGATGTTTTCGTTGCGTTCGGCTCGCTCCAGTTCCTTGTTTCCCTTTTGGAATTTTCTGACTATCCTCTCCCATCTAGTTTTCTGGGTCAGTGGCTTTGGTTCTGTGGTGGCAGCACCTGGATTTAGCAAAGTATGAAGCCGATTCTATAGCAAAGAGAGACGTCGGTATAGCGTTCTTACCGTATACATATCTTGTCAGAGTGAAATGCTCAAAGTAGGCCCAAGCATTCTCCAAGGAAGGATTTTCTGGTTTGACCGTCCTCATAGGGTATCCATCGGCCGTTCGGAAAGCCCCTCCCAATTGAGAAGACTCGCACTCGTCAAAGCTTTCGTGTGTCTCTCCTAGCCTTGGGTTGTACCACTTGTATTTGTGCATCAAGTGAAGTGCAATCTGGCGCGAGTACGTCATTTCGGCTGGATCGTCTTCCAAGAAGTTCAGTCTCTGTGCCACCATGACAGCCTCACGACGGGATTGTCTTGTGGAGCGGGTCCCTACACTCACATCGGACATGCTCTGGTTCAGAATGAAATCACTCCGTCCATGACTGGAGAGCCCTTTGGATATCTTCCCTTCCATTCCATTGAGCGAGGAGTCATCTTCTCTGCTGCGGGTGCTGTTGTCTCTGCTGCTCGCCATTCCAGCTGGTCCTCTTCCACTCCCATGCAAAACTCCCATGTATTGTCGAAGTAAATCATCTCCTCCTGGCCGATTGGGTGCTTGTGGACTGCCGGTTGACGTTCCCATAGCAGCAGCTTGGCGTTTTCGTTCGGCATTTTGGACTTCTTCCATCCCCGTGAACTCAATCACACTGTTGCTGGTATAGGACTGACGTCCCGAGGCATCGTATTCGTCGTCAAAACGTTCACTGGCTTCACTCTCGCTGGCTTCACTGTCGCTGACATTGCTTTCGCTAAAGTCTATCTCCGAAGCATACTCGTCTTCTTCGGCATCGTTCACCGAAAAACCATTGCTGCTGGTGCTACTTCCATACAAGCCTCGATTGTTGCTACCTCGTGCTGTACCACTACCCGTGAGTCCTCTATTTCTATTGGTTTGTCGGGGCGTACCGGTCTGAGAGTATCCTGGTCCATCTCCAATGGGCAAACCAGGTTTCTTGGCACCAAACTTGGCCTTTAGGCGGTTCGTTGCCTTGGGCGTCTCTGTAGCCCAATTCCTCTGCTGAGGCATCTTGGGCTAAAGGCACTGGTAACAAGCTAGCTGGCTGACTAGCTAGTCGAGGATGATGCTCGCACTGTGTGAGAGTCTGGAAAAGAAATGAAGTCTTGTTTGCTTTTGCTTCCGACAGGCTGCAACGGCCTTCATTTTTTCCCCACTGGATCGGACTCGACTCGACTCAATCGACTGACTCGATCCACTCACAACGTTTACGGGAGTGCTGGGCATAGTATTTTTAACCCTAACAATCCAAACGTGCCTGGAATCTTTAGGGTGCCAAGCGCCAAGTGCCAAGGCTTTGTTTCTTCTTTCACCAAGTCCACGCCTCATCATTCATTTTGCTGTCGACAACCTACCCAAACAACACCCACAAGGCAAAAGATGGGTCTCGTTGGCATCGTGAAGAGGAACGATTTGGGGCGTCTTCGCAAGTCCCTTGTTGAGAAAGAATGTGAACAAGGAAACATTGACCGGGCCCTGTTGGTGGCAAGTGAAGCTGGATACACAGAGATTGTCCGCTGTCTAGTGCAAGAAGGAGGTGCCAATGTGCTGTGCACTACAACCGACAGAAGGGCTTGGAAACATTGTAAATCTTATCATAGTTATCCACGTAGGACCGCTCTGGATCTGGCAACTCAGAATGGACACTCAGAAACAGCTGCCTATTTGAATGATGCGATGGGCCTATTGGCGTTTTGAAAGCAACAGTGGAGTTTCTGCGTTTCAGGTGTCATGCAGGGGTACCGGCACCGGTAGACGCCTTTGCGGTGGCAGAGCAAAAAATCCAAGAAAATGGGAGAGACATTAACTACTGCAATAAGGGTGACCAGGAAACACAGCTCCACGCTGCATGTGCCCTTCTCGCTTACTCAAAAAACTACTCTACTATGACGTTGCCGCTGATTGAAGCACTTTTGGAAAGAGGAGCACGAGTGGACGCAGTCAATCAACAAGGACGCACTCCTCTGGCTTGTGTCTGCCTTTTTTCTTGCTGTGGTGAGTCATTACACATGGTTGTGCGAATGCTCTTGGAATATGGGGCGGATCCAAATGCAAGAGACATGAAAGGGGACACACCCTTTTCTCTGGCGTGCCAAAGATCGATTGATAATCATGCACTCCTGAATCAGCTCATCACTGCCGGGGCAAAGATAAACACAAGGAATGAGGTTGGCGGAACTCCACTGCACCATATGTGCTGGCGTTACCACCCCTCGAATGAGGTCGATTTGGTAACGTTGTTGCTTGATAATGGTGCTTCTGAAACTATGGACACACAAGCCGGGTACTTTGGCTCCACTCAACTCCACATTGCAGTATCGCGTGGAAGGGAAAAGACCGCAGTACTATTGCTTCGTGCTGGTGCTAGCCCAAATATGCGAGATGAATCGGGTGACTCGGCTCTCCATTTGGTTTGTGGACCCAGTGGCAGGTCGGACTTGGTAGAGCTTCTCCTGGGTCATGGAGCAAGCATCAATGTCCAAAACCGAGACGGTAACACTCCACTGATCATTGCTCTCCAAAGGGGAAATGGTTTGGCTCGGCGTCTATTGGAGCTTCCTGAAATTGAAACCCATCACACAAACAACAAAGGAGATAATGCATTAGTGGCTGCTTGCTCCAGAGGCGACTTGAACATTCTCTACATTTTGCTTCGCTTCCGGTTGGGGGAGCTGGGGCGGCTGTTCTGAACTTGAGACTTGAATTGCTTTGTTTGGGGGCTGTTGCAGCTCTGCTAAAGTACATCGTTTATTCTATTAATAGACAGTGGTGTGGTCAACTAAGCTGGGTTTTCATTGCAAAAAAGATTTCTATGGTCATTGCTTGCGATCGCTCTTGTTTCGGAAGTTCGACGGCATTCCTCCCATGGTCAGGCCAGCTATAGCTCTCTTTGAAAAAGGTGCCCTCAAGGACGTCTCGGTGGTCTTCAAGTTGCTGCGGGTGAATGTGGCAAACTTCCCTGGCGCTGCCTGAGGAGCCCAATCATATGGGATGAACTTGACCTTGACACCATCTCCAGTCCTTTGGCTGGTGCTTTTTCCTCCCCAGGTTTCACGGTTGTCTGGTGGTTTGCTCCTCATGTCTGGGGACGAGCTTCGTGGCATTCCCCTGGTGAAGCGTCGTTGACCCGGAGAGTAGCTTCCCGGTGTCTTGCTCTGAATAATCATGGCTGAAAGTGCTGCATGCTTTTCACTTCCTTCTGGCAAATATCCCAACACAACCTCTGGGAGATCCTTAGATGAAGCACAGCCAAAGTCGCTCTTGTACCATTTGAATATCATTGACAAAGTCAACGTATTTGTGTTTTCATCCACCACCACATTGTTGTCATCCAGACAGAAGGATTCAGAGGCGAGTTGCAGCTGCTCATCCAAGTTTTCGACCGAGAATTCATTGAGTTGAGGACAGGACTTTGCACCACACCACAAAGTAAAGTGAATTCTGGGGTCCAGCTTCTTCGTGGTCCATGCTCGTCGTGCATCGTCTCCCAGAAACTGCTGTTTGACGTGATATGGATGCCGCGTGTTGGCTCTCAGAAATCCGTGCTCAACATCATCTAAAGACAATATTTGATTGGCAACCTTGTACTTCACGCCGGTGAAAAACGCTCTCCGTTGGGAGGCTGTGGTTGGCAGTCCGACCTTTATTTGAGCATGCCTTACCATGGTGTTGTAGAGATGGATGCCAAACACAGTTTTCTCCGCATCGGTCATTGTAGATGCCAAGCAGATACCATCCATGCACTGCAGCCGACACGACCCTTCTTCCAGCTGGATGAAAGCTGGATCGCTGTAGTCCTTGGTCGCCAGAAAGTCGATGCCGTCGCGTCCCGTAGCGCGAGTTTCAATGTCAGAGAGCAATCGTTGAAGGTTTGTCAGCAGCTTTAACGCGCCAGAAGCGGAGAGCACTGTGTTTGGACCTGAAGAACTGGTGTCTTCTTCCGGTCTGAACGTGGAACTCTCCTTCATGTGGGATGTCAGGCTGAGCGACACTTGCTGTTGCGACAGAAACGAGTTGAGTAGATATGGCTGGTGAAATGGTTGCAACCTGTAGTAGTAATCTTTGGTGTCCACATATTGGTGGTGATTTGCAACATGATGCATGATACCGCATCTCATGAGCAAGTTGCCAAATCCTACTGCTCGCAATCGGTCCTCTGCATTGTTTGGGTCTTGGCTAGGGCACAGCGCGGGGAAGATCTGCATCAAGGCATCCACTCCTTGACAACCGGTGAAGCAATCCTGGTAGTACTTTGCTAGGTATGCCAGCTTTTCTCGGGGCATCTCTTGAACCAGAATGCTGGTTACCTCACCAAAAGTGGCACGCGTTGGTGGATTGCCAGGCAATGGTATCCACCCATCAACGAAGCATTCGTCTCCCCCCGTAGCCGATGGATCACGGTGATGGTCACTGCTTTGGAAGAGCTCCGTAAGTCCCAATGGTGTCATGGGGTGCGACAATCGATAATCTACCGGATCTGGTTGCCTTGCTACCTCTTCGAGATACCTCTGCCAGTAGTCCCCTTCGGAGTCCCAAGTATCCAAAAGTTTGATCAGCTCATCGCAGCCGCCGATCCACCGTGTATTCATGAAGATCTGAGGAACTGTCATTTTGCCTGACAACTCAAACATGTCCACTTTTCTCTCGGGAAAGCAATCCACTGGAATCTCTACAAAGGGAAGACACCGGTGCTGGAGCTCTTTCTTGACGCGGTGGCAAAAGCTGCAGCTGTCGATTGTGAAGATGATGATGCGGCCCATGGTCAAAAGGCTAGATATGTATAGGACGGCCCACCAAAGGCAAAGAACTTTGTTTTTGGAAATCAAAATATTCGATACTTCTGTGATGGTTATGATGGGTGATGGCGGAGTTGTGAACTGTGAACCTGTATAAGAACGACACGGAAGCACGGAAGAATGAAGGAGCCGAGAGGCTACTAGCTAGTATGCGGATTGTAAGTTCGGCTCTCTATAGCTAGCTCAGGTTTGCTCTACTGGTACACGTAGCTAGCACTAGCCACTAGCTAGATCATGCTGACAATTAATTAATTGACAATGGTCAAAAGTGGTGCGGGTATTAATAGCGGTGGTGGGTATTAATGTATTAATGCAGCTTGCGGTGTGCGGTCGAAGAAGTTGTTGTCTAAAGCGTTTACAATGGCCGTTCTGCTTGTTCTCGAGTGACTCTGAGTCAAGTTTAGGAACCAAGAAAGAGTCCTTCTCTCTATGTTTTTACGGAAATGGCCAAAGGTTATTTAAAAAGACAAGAAATGGCCTATAATAGTACTGGTTACTTACTGGTGACACGAGACTGCTGACTCTGGCTCGAGTGAGTACTGAGTACTTATTAATAGACTAGACTACTTAGTACATACTACTACATACATGTACGTTCAGTACCAGTAATTTTTCTCATAATATTCTTGGAAGCTCGTAAGTGTAATATTACGATTGCTTTTTGCTTCCCATTTTCTTTCCACTTCCCCTTCCATTGTCTGCGAGTATACTATTTATTTTAGTAAAATAAATAATAGTAGCTCGAGGAGTACACTCCAAACTCAATAATAAGAAGGCTCTAACTGGGAGTCAGTACTCAAGCTTTCTTAGCCAAGTGCTCTATTTTGCTACTCATTTTATTCCTAACCAAACAAGCAAATTCCAGTATAGAAGACTTTCTTACTAAGCTTCTAGATCAAGCAGTTTAGTGTTTGGATATGCCCAGTGCACCTGGGCCTTTGGGTCCAACTTGCTCAGGACTCTTAATTGGTTTGGATCAAGTAAAAGTGGTGATCACTGTCTCTGCCGCCAGGCAGAAAATTTTGCAGATTTAGGCACAAGTTAGGAGCATTTTCATGGTTTCAGACTAGTAGTATTTCTTGTGCTTTGAGGTATCAATACCGGTACTGGGAAGCTTTCTTCCAAGTTTGTGATATTTCAGTATAAAAAGATTCTTATCTTTTTCTAAAATCTGAGTACTCGCTTTCTTATTTGGAGTTTCTTACCTTCAGGTTTGGAGTGTATCCTCTTTTGTGCCAGTGGAGCACCAGCTAGCTTCAACGCTACTAGTCTACCGGTACCGGACGGTAGACTGACGAGGTGGCGAGTACCACCGGGTCTCTGCTAGCGCAAGAGCTCATGAGTGAGTCGAGTCGAGCACCAGCATCTTGAGTCACAGTCAGAGCCGAGTCGAGCGACAGAGTGGAGTGAGTCGAGTCGAGCAGCAGCATGCTTCCGTTTCAAACCAGTGCGACGATCCTACCAGCAACGCAAAAAGTGCGGTACCGGCACCCGGCACGAATACCGCTACCCGCACACCGTCCTTCGCATCTCGCTCGCATCATGCTTCTGTGTTCTTGCTAGCTATCTGGTGTCGGCATTTGCTGCCTGGGCACGGTATCAGCTTTCCTTGTCTCTCCAGGATGCCCTATTGGAGCTGGCAAATGAGCTAAAGCGTATCCATCTCTGATCTTTGGTTCTTAGCAGGGTTGCATTTGATGGGCGACGGTACTTGAAATGGATGTAAACGCTACGCTGGTACTAAGTTATACAACTGATCGGCGGCAGCACAAGAAATGCTATACCTCAAGCTCGGTAATTCTGGGCAGAAGATCTCTGGAAGTAGTGCGAGCCTGCTCTGATCTCGATCCCATATCGAACTGTTTGGACTCAGCAACCATGCTAGCTGAGGCTTCATCTGCAAAGCTCTCGCCGGTTTCGTCCGACAAGGACATCAATGACGCCCTTGTTCCGGTGCTCTTGCTGCTTTTCACGGCCACCCAGTATGTTGTCATCAAACCCTTGCCTTTTGCCTCGACCTTGTCTTCCCGCTCTGTCAGCCAATCTCGATGGCCATGACGAATCAGCTCGTCTGCTGTGGATTGAGATACGTGTATCTTTCCAGGAACTCCATTGCTTTCCATTCGAGACGCGGTGTTGATCGAATCTCCAAAAAGCTATGGAAAGTGTGTTGAGGTCAGATTATCCGCTGCAGTGATAAAAATGCGATAGGTGGAAACATAACACAGCAGCTACCTACCTGGAAACGACCTTTATCTCCACGCAATATTCCACCTGTTATTGGACCCTTTGGGCATTGGAAGATGAAAGAAGTTAAGCTCCGCTTCTCTCTGGCATGTGTAAACAGGCATTGCCAAGAATCCCAGACTGCTGTCTAAAAACGTACCGAATGCATCCCCACTCTCAGTTTGAGGTTGGCCGTATCTTGACCCAGTCGGTCAGCGAGTTTATTCCCAACGAGTTGTCCCATGCTCACTTGGCACGCTGCCGCAAACTTGACCATCCGCGGTGCATGGTCCTTTTGAGGGTTAGGGACTCCTACACAGAATACGAAGAAAGGCAACAAGCAAGCAGACAGGTGAGCAACATAATCCCTCTTCAAGCGCAACCTTGCCCAAACTTTGAGCCTACCAGTGACTCCCACCCAGCAATCACCAATCTACACCAACACAAGAACAGTGCATTCCAAGAATTGTCAGCATCGGGCAGTCATACATGCGTACAGCAACAACAACTCCCAGATCCATTACTTACCGTCTCAATCTTATACACGCCACGCTTCGACGCAATACGGTCAAAGCTCTGATAAAGTGTTTCCAGCAATTCAAACACATCGGAAGGAGTACGAGCGGAACTCCACTCGGTAAATCCCGCCAGATCCATGAGGAGAATAGTTGCGGATTCATAGAGCGTTGCAATTGCCTTTGTGCCTTCCTCATGCATTCCTGCTTCACCTGGATTCTTCCACTTTCTCCTTTCTGCATTGCCTTTAGGTTCGTCTTCAAACATCCGTTCTCTGACTTGCTCTGGATACAGGGTGGCAATAAGAGCGCGGGACTCTACAGCTTTCTTCATCACAACCTGCTGTCGTCTTGCGACAAGGCAGTCAAACACAGCCAGCACCAAGATGGTGAACAAAAAGACGGAGGCCATAATGGAAGCGTACACGGCCGGTTTGTTAGTAATGTACTGGCTCTCAAGTTCTTCGGTGGGATAAATGTACAGAACATATTCCCCAAAATCGACTTGTACTGCGTCAAATGCTTGGTTCCTCGGGCTGTGTAGGACCTGCAAGGTTTCTTCCATGTTTTGAAAGACAAACATGTCATCATAGTTGGAGGCATGATAGTCTTGGATCCCCAGGTAGGTTGCTTTTGGACCTTCTATGAGATAGCTGATGGGCTCACTCTGTTTGCTCTTGATTACAGCAATAAAGCCTCCTAGACTTTCAGGAACAATCTTCTCAAAGTTTAAGCGCCACATCAGGGGCGACAGCAAGAACCCAGCCACGGTCCTGTTTGCCCCAAAGGAATCAAACACGGGGTAAGTCAGAGTAGTTGTGGCATCTCCCGAGAAGAACTGCAAGTCGTGTCGGTATTGTCCACGTTGGATGTAATCATTCGTAATTCTGATCGGAAGTAATTCCTGAAGTGTGATGTTGCTCGGATCGCGGACACCCACTGCACGACCTAGCGCTGCATGTTGAGTTTCAAGCACAGAGACGATCGAATCAGCTACGACCCGACGGGAAAACAGATCTCTATTCAGTAGGAATTCCAAAGGAATGATGGGGGACATCTATTGCACAAGCAAGAAGGGGCGAGAGATTTTCAGCGGTCGTGCGTACAATGCGTACAATGCAATGCTGGGCCACAACAGAAAACTTACATGCCAGAATGGAGCGTACGGTCCGCTTCCTGGTGGCTGTGGAATTGGTGGTGGAGGGCCACTCTCCTGCGGAGGTCCTGGGCCGAAAATCTGCCTGTTGAAGCCCCGCTTGGGTGGTTCTTCCTCCCCAGCTGGCGGCGCTTCTTGGAGGGACCTCTGTGGCGGCTGCTGTCCATCCTCAGGAGGTGTACCTTGCCCTTGTGCTGATTGTATTTCGTTCTCTGGTGGTGGCCCTCCTTCCGAAGACTCTTCGTTTTGTGATCTGTCTGAACCGGGAGCGTCCTCGATCACGTCTTCCTCCAACCCAAAGTATTGATCCTGCGACTCCATGAATTTGAGTTCCTCCTGCCACTGATCTTGCTGCCATTGCTTGTGGTTAAAGGAGTATTCTTCCCAGCCAAGTCGATTCTCATCGGTCACCTGAGAAATATAATATCACAACATGAGACATACCGCCGCAACCGTTGTTTTGCCAAACCCTTCCCTTTGCACTTACCAATGGAGCATACTCCACGTTGATGGCATCTGGGCGGGCGGAGAGACACAAAAGATATCGTCAGGATGAATTGAATAACTAATACAGCTTGCCGAACAAGAATCATATCCTCAGTGACAAACCTGCTTGTATCCTCGTTTGCCCAGCCAACATGATCCAGTTATCAATTGTCACGTTGGGAAAGGTCAGACCATTGCTGAAAAGGAAGAAACAGTTGTAAGAAAGAGACCCCAGGAAAGCCATTTGCTAATCCATTCCCCACTCCCCACATACCTCAATGCATAGTTGGTGATAGTGGTGGAGAGCCCTCCAATGGCAACAATCTTGCGATCTACCGAATCAATGAATGATTCTGCCAACTTGTTGGCGTAGATTTCAAAAACAGTCTGAAAGTTGTTCTCTTGCTCATTTTTCGTGTAGAAGTAGACCGCCAATGTCACAGAAATGGCAGTGATAACAACAACGCAGTAGACAGCAACACGAACACAAGAGACGGCTTTCTCCTCGTTTCGTTGTAGCAGCTTGTTCTTCTCCTCCGCTTCCTGCAGCTGACGAGCTGTGGGCTTGGCATCGTCGCCATGGCTTGAGTCATCACACTCGCTTTCGTCTCCCATGATGATTAGGTCTTCTTCCTCGAAGGCTGCCATGGTTCTGCACAGTATCTCAATTCGCCTCTTCAGTCTAATCTCTTTTCGATAACTCTTGCTTGATGCAGCCGAGCAAGAAAAGTGGCGAAAATATTCAGCGGCTGTGCATGGTGCATGGGAGTTCGTCCTCTGGCCAGAACAACAAGGTTGGTCAGAAGTGTCCCACGTGTGCCCCGAAGAAAAAGGATGGAGCACAGCCAGTTTTTGATCATGTACCGGTATGTGATACTAGTAATGTAGTCTATGTATCAGTACCGCATGTTTCCACTATAATATTTACCGTATGCCGGTAGACACTGACTCGACTCTAAGATCTCACCGAACATGGTCATTCGGTGGCTCAATCTTACAGTGGTTTACTTCACCTCGATAGAAACTAATACCTTATTGGAAATGACTGCATTGAACCACATCACCTTATCACCAGTGCCGGTACCAGCAGCATCTGATTATTATCAGCTTCTGATATATCGGAAACTATTATTAATAATAGATCTATTCAGTGGTCAGAATGTCAGAATTTTGAGCTGTTTTTGATAGAATGTCGGGTCTCCCACCTTCGACGGGATCTCAATAGTAAATCCATAAAAAATGACGCATACTCGATACTCGAGTACAAGATAGTCAGTCAGGTGAAGATTTAAAAGGGTACATGCAGCTTCTACCAGAACTCTTAAGGCCTTAAAACACCTCTGCACTTTGAGTCTTGCTACACTGACTTCTTTTGTAAGTTGAGTAGTCGAGTCCCAGGTCCCAGTCAGAATGTTTTGCTACTACATGTATAATAATTCGGACTTTTTTAATTAAAAAATACGGTACGACTGTACGACTGTACTGGTACGACGTGTGGCATACCGGTATCGGTACTCGTATGCCGGTTCTATGATCCGTGACTGATCTGATTTTTCGAGGGTTTTGTCGTAACATTTCAACCAAAGTCTGAACGATCTTCTCGCGCAAACTTTCAGGGTGAGCAGCGGACAGTACTGAACGCTGGTCTTTGTTATTGAGAAAGAACGAATCCCAAGTTTGCTTCCCGTGCACTTGATCCCCTGGACGATGGAACTCTTGAGGCATTCCGCAAAGCTTGCTTACGTCCACAGCTGAATCCAGAGCTGATGCAGGAGCAAGGTCTCCCGGACCCATCACGTAGATTTCCCAGGGACGAGACACTGATTCTGAGAATCGGGGAGCTCCCATATAGACCGACAGATAGAGAGCAGGACCCTCCTGGTCTCCATAAAGCTTCACACAAGGACGATACTTTGTCTTGTGTTTGTTTCCTTCGTCCAAAAAGGGAACCGTAGACCAACAATCTGCCACTTGGTCAATGCGTTCAATTCTTTCGTCAGAATTTCTTCGCAGTCGGCTGTTGTCCTTTGAGACTCGTCGGCAAATGCAACGTTTCCACGGACGGCAAGACCTATTTCAAGGCGATACAGCATGCGCTGATATGCCAGAGCTGGTTGTTCAGCCGCAGCATCGTTGTTGGCGCCCTCGGTCAACACGATGAGGACACTATCCATATCAATCAAACACCGCGAGCGGCTCGAGAAAGTCGCAGGGACATGGCCGGGAGAGGGGAAGGTCTGAGCCTCCAAACGTTGACCTTGGAGAGAGTATCGGGATGCTGCCATGGTCCTTGATCAACTTTCTGTTTTATGTTCTGGACTCTGGATTTCTGTGGAAACGTCATTCGTGGCAAAATACTTAAGAGACAATACACCGAGGCATAGGAGACGATTGAAAGGATTTAAGAGACGAAAGCAATCGTCTCCTATATTTAGGAGACGATTCAGTAGGAGACATTCCAATTAGGAGACGATCGTTTCGAAATAGGAGACGATCCGAAAGATTTAGGAGACGATACCATACAGTTTACATGGTACACTTAGGAGACGATCCGTTGAGAATAGGAGACGATCCGTTGAAAATAGGAGACGATTCAAGAGGAGACGAAAGATTTAAGAGACGATCCGTTTCGTCTCCTATTTTAGGAGACGAAATCCATTAAATAGGAGACGATCAAAAGGATTTAGGAGACGATCGGTTGCACGACTCGAGTTTCCACAGAGGTCCTGTTCTCGTCTTTCGCTGGGAAGTACATGTAAGCATAAATCGTGCGCAAGCACCCAGCCAAAAACTCAACTGACGACTGTCTATATTATAGAGTAAAATGCGATTTACGACCGACCTTTCCCCGGATTATTCTCTTAAGAGGTGGATCTCGAATATTTTACTTCTAAGTAGCTGAATCGAAAGGGCACATGTTGTTGAGTATTCCATTAAATTCCCAAGATCAGAGTGTACTTATTGGTGGAGTTATGGTTGATTGAAAATATCCTCACATTTGTGACGAATTCTTTTTCTCGACAGTTTAAGACTTTACAGTACTTAACTGTGTAGGATCCTACATAGGAGAGTCCTGTAAGATCCTACGGAACACTTAGGAAGCACCTCTATTGCTCTGGTACCAAAGCTACGTAGGATCCTACGTAAGAACCTCTATTAATTACATGGTCTTAATCTTCACCCGGTCTTAAAATAACTTTTACTCTAGTAGTATGGACAGGCTCTCGTACGACCGCAACTACTGGTACATGTATGCATACCTGGAAGGTCCCGCAAATAATGAAATAGTATAATTATGATTAATGCGTGATTAATGTGTTTAATGGTGATGAATGGTGATGAATTCATCACCTATTTGTTGAATGGTGATTACTACGGATTCGGATTGAATTGACCGCACAGGCCTTCTCTCAGAAATTCGACCACCTCCCTGAAAAATTCGACCACCTCCCTCAAGAATTCAAGGGTTCCCTCAAAAATCCGAGAGCTTCGGCAGGGATCCTACCGGTACCATCACAAAAGCACGACAGCAGCACAAAGCCCAGCCATCAGCATAAGCACAGCCAAGCAGTCAGTCGGCCACTGTCATAGTATCATTGTTTGTCATTGTCTACTCTTTCTAGTCTCCTTGTTGTCATCATGAGTGGTAGTCACAAGCAAGCTTCGCGCCGCAGTGCTGTTGATGAAGACTGGGAGCGCCCAACAACCTTTGGTGGCTCAAATGGAATTCCCCGCTTTGAGATGCCACCGACTGATCCTTCTGATGATGATCTGCTCAAGAGCTAGCCAAGAAGCGCACCTTGAATTGTTCTCTGCAAGAGAAAAAGGATCGGCTTGTGACTCCGATTGTGGATCAGCGAGATGATATTTTGAAGACGGTCAAGAAGAAATTGCCAGGTCCGAATCCAACCACAAATTCACCCATTTATGATGCATTGGATCGAGCCATCCCCAAGAGCTTTGCCAAAACAGCGAACGGTGAGAAGATGGCCAAAGCTGTACTTGGGATGTACAGTGCGCTGAATGCCTGTATTGAAGTGTTGGAAGAAGATGGTGCTCGTGTACCTCGACTTTTGTCTCGTCACTTTGAGGAATTGAAATTAGCCATTGACTCTGCTACAGCTAATTTCCAAGCCAATGCTCTCTCCAAATGCAGCAGTGTCTTTGTTGCACTGACGACACAGCAGAAAGAACGGTGCTACAAACAAAATGGATTCCTTCCGACTGATGAAGCCCATCGCATTTGTGTCGGCTGCAAGCACCAATTTGTGGATGAACCTGACACCAACAAAACTGTGGCAGAAAAGAACAAGGTCAACCGGAGAGCCTTTGAAGAGAAGAAGAAGCAGGCAGAGGAAGAGGCCAAACAAAACAAGACTAAGCCGAAACGTATGCTCGCCCAAAAGCAGAGCAGCAATACCGACAATGCCATTGCTCACAAATGCGCTGCTTGAGCCCCGACAATGATGTTGGCTCTTCTTGCCCGATTCGATGCATCAACCCTGAAACCAATCAGAAATACGGCAAAGATTCTAGCGGTGTTTGTGCTTGCCCAATCTGCAAATGCACATGCAACATTGCTGTCACGTACAATGCCTCCCATACTCTAGACACAATCCAGTTGTTGAAAGATTGTGGCATTGAGCGAAAAGAAGAGCTTGAAGCTGAGAAGGGCCGTTCTCATTTGTCTTTCCTTGTGGACGAGGCATGTAGTACATCGATGCGTGCCACGGCCAACAGCGGTATTCCGGAGAAGCAGCGGCAAAATATGGCGACAACTGCAGCAGCCAAATCTCTAACTCGCAATTTCAATCCTACCCATCATCGGCATTTGTCAAGGAAATGCGAGAAAAGATCGGAAAGCCAACAACAACCGTAACTTTGCCAGCTCCGATCCTCATAGGTGGAAAACTCACGAGTGTTGGTCAGTCATGATTTCCTGTTATTTGCCACTATGCTCATCATGTACCAGCTAACATTTTGGTTTTCTTACAGCTGATACCCGCACCATTTCTACCAATTTTAGTGGACACCGACAACGAAACAATCGATTGTCAGAAGGCGCTGCCTCTGCTCAGCTACCACTCCACCCTTATTTGGATGCCTACGCTCTGATGGATGCGGCAAAGACGAGTGGAATACTTGGCGGCCAGGAGTCCCAGGAAGAAGAGGTGGAAGAACAGGATTCCGATTCAGACTTCCTGCAGGCAATTCAGAATAGCCTCCGGGATGAACGATCAGTAACTCGGTCTCCACAATTGACACCGCCTCCCAGCAGCAGCAACGTTGTTGTTCTTTTGGATTCTACGCCTCGTTTTGGTCGTGTTGCCCAGCCACCTCCAGCTGCAAACAGTGCTGAAAAATTCAAGACTCGTGTCAAGCGCCGTGCATTCCTACGGTCTCAGGAAACCGCCGAAGTTTTTGATTCCGAGAAGGCTGGTTCCCCGGAACTCCATGCCAAAAGTCCGTACTCTCTCAAAGTGTTCCAAGCATTTTCTGGTTCTGGCAACGCAACTGTGACGGAATACACTGATATGTACCATGAAACGAATCCCGAGGCTGACAGCCAGGAGGCTTACGAACATGTGAGCAATATGATGCGTACTCTGGATGGAAAAAAGCAGAAGCGATACCACTAGACATTAGCCAGCTAGCTAGCTAGCAAAGGCGGCTGCTTTGGTACAAATAGAACTAAATATAAAAGTTGAAACGTTGATGGTGAAATGAACTCGTCTTGGCTAGCTAGCTTAGGGGGCGTACCCGCAGTGAGCAAAGTATCCAACTTCCTGGCGGTCATCAAATGCTTCACGTAAAGTGCGACGTATCTGAGCCCCGTTGACAAATCTGGTAGATGGCTTGTTCTAGCTCCTGGCCTGTGGTCACGTTGTGGAGTTCCAAAGAAAGCTGTTGCTGAATGTAATTGAAAAAGTACTCGATAGGTCCATCCCAGGGATTGTAGGGAGCCCGGAAGACAAGTCTATGGCCATTGCTATTGAGGAGGTAAGCAATCAAAGGACTGTGGTGGGCAGCAAGATTGTCACAAATGAAAGTACATGTGTTCCCACCACCTCCAACACCACCCCAAAATCCCGCCAGGACCGTTGATAATGTCCTCAAGAAAGTCATGCGTATCCATTACAGATGTGCCAGCCCGAAGAGCAAAATTCAACAAAACAGGCCCACCACCAGGGCCATTC